CCGGCCTGACCTTCCCCAGCCCCAGCTCAAGACTTCTCCGTCAGCGGTGAGGGCAAGGCTGTGCTCGCGTCCAGCCGAGACTGCGATGATGCGCTGCTCAGCCAAGGCCTCAACCTTCGTCAGCTGCCACAGGTCCTGATCGTCGCCGTGGCCCAGCGCGCCCAAGACTCCCTGGCCCCAGCTCCAGACGGCGCCGCTGCCGGTGAGGGCGAGACTGTGGAATCCTCCAGCCGACACACTCACTGCACGCTCGGCGCCCGGCGTCGACGGGAGGCGGGTCGGCGTGTTGAGCCGCGTTACGCCCTCGCCGTGCCCGAGCAGGCCTGGGACGTGATCCGGCGGGCAGCCGCACGACGAGAGCCGCCCCTCGCCGACGATGAAGAGGCTGTGATACTGGCTTGCCGCCGCCCTCGCCGGCGGGTTGGACTCGCGCAGCAGCGCAGAATAGCACAGCCACCGCACAGCGCAGCTCTCGCCCTCTGGCAGCGCCGGCAGCTCGAAGCCGCGCTCCTGCGCCCACAAGCGGATGGCCTCCAGCGCAAGCGAGGCGTGGAAGAGCAGCGAGACGGCCGCGACGCGAGCGATGTCGGCGGGGTCGCAGCGAGAGATGGCGCGCACGAGGAGCTCCGTGGGGAGGTCGAGGAGGCGGGCGGGCGGCGGCGTGTCTGGCGAGGGGGTGGCGGAGGAGGCGGGGGCGAGGCGGCGCGAGCGGCGGCGCGGCGGGGTGGACATCGTGAGAAAAAGAATTTAAAATGCGACGGGCTCGACACAGGTGAGAAATGAAGAAAAACCCGGGCCCTCAACAGTGTACGACACACGATCATTCATGCCATCGCGAAGCCACATCACGGCCGAGCAACAAAGCCCAGACGTGCAGCAACCCGCAGGAAACAGTGGAGCATGCACAAACCTCTACCCTTCCGGATTCGCCTCTCCCCACTCTCGGAGACGTTCGCAACGTGAAGAATGGGCACATGGCAGCACACTCCTGTGCACCCTTCGCCCTTTTCCTCACTGCCCCGGACCCCACGCCTCGATCTTCTTGGGCAGCAGCTGGTTCGACAGGTCCTCTCCGTGGCCTAGGCAGCCGCGGCCGCCCTTGCCCCAGGTAAAGACGGCGTCGTCGGCGGTGGTGGTGAGGCTGTGGCTGCGTCCAGCCGACACAGCGACGACGCGCCGCCCTGCAAAGGCCTCGACCTTCTTGGGCAGCACGGCGCAGAGGGGCCCCCGGAGGGATGCTCAACCGCCCACGCACTTGGAGCACTTGGAGTGCAATCAGTAACCTCACGCCCAGGACCGGGGAGCTGAGAAGCGCACCCAGTTGGCCGGACGCTCGGCATCGGGTTACGGGCTAGAGAGCCCTAGCCCCGGGGGTGCGCGGTCGCAGGGCCATAACACGTCTCCGAGGGTTAGTCCGCGCTCCAGGTTTCCCCTAGCAGCGGAGCGCCCCCTCTACTCGGAGCTAAAGAGTACTCTCCGAGGGTTGGACCCGCGTACCAGGTTTCCCCTTAACTGCAGGACGCTGCCCTCTACTCGGAGCTAGTAATACGAGAATACGCACCGCCCCACCGCAATATCACACTACGCGACGAGAATACGAGAATACGAGAATACGCAGCTGCGAGACACCTATCGAGCAGCTTCCGCGGCGGGCAGCTTCCGCGGCCGTGGGGCGTGTGGGGGGGGGGGGGGGGAAAAGGAAGCCGCCCTGTAAAAACGGCGAGAGAGAAGATTAAGGAAACGGCGGCGGGGGGGGGGGGGGGGGCCCCCGAGGTTAGAGGGGGAACCGCCAAAAAACCCGTTTAATATGCTGGGCCCCCGGGCAAAATTTTGGTTCCGGGGTTTTTGAAAAAAACACGCCTGGGGGGAACCCCCCCAAAAACTAAACCCCGGGGGTGAAAAAGATCCCTAAAGGGGAGGGCCCCCCAAAAAAAAAAGGGAAAAGG